AATTAATCTAATGGTATATTTAAGGATTTCTACCATGCTTGTAGGATTCAGGAGGACAACTTCCCCAAGTTACAATTAAGTCAATTCTTGTTACTTTAATTTTCAGTTTATTGTTTTAGATTTCCTTCTTACACAAGTTCACAAATTTTACATGTAATAGACAATTTTAGAACTGCCTTTTTACAAAGGAAAATGGACAACATGTGTGCAGATAGCAGTAATCCACACCTGTCTTGCTAAAACTTTCCCCACATTGTTTCTTCCTCTGCAGTCATAATATGCAGGAGATAGAAGGAAATACTGGAAAGAGTTGGAACATGGGACTGTGAATAACTGATAAAAATAGGGGAGAGTGCCAAGGAGCATGGAAAGGGACTGTGGGTAAGAAGGCAGATTAAATTTCCATGCACAAGCTTCTCATCTTGACTTCACTCCTAAACCTAACAGTCACCACTTCTAGTTGCTTTTGGAGGCTTCAGGTGTTAGGGTTTTCAATTTAATACATTCAGAACTGATATCTACATTAGAAACCTGTGATCCAGGCTTTTTCCCCAGTATGAAGTTATCCTTATGAAATGGAGTTTCACACATATTATCCTGCTGTCTGACAGGTACCAAACCGAACCAAACCTGTAACAGAAGCAGTGATATTCCCATTTACATGTTTTTATTGTACAAGGGTCAGACTTTAGAGTCCCACCAGGTTTTGGTGCACGAGCCAGTTTATAACTAGCCCCAGTACCTTTTCACTGCTGCAATTGCACCTTTGGTCCTAGTAAGTTCTCTTAATCCTAAGAAGGGCCAGACTTGCTACACAGACACCTTCTGCAGTGTTTGTAGCGTAAAATAAAATTCTGAAACATCTGAATTAAAAACTTTAGTGGTCTCACAACCAGTACCTTGAGAAATCCTGAATCTTACCTTATGATAAAGGGCAGTAAAGATTGCAAGGACTGATGGTAGTGTGGGAGAGGACCTAGTCAGAAGGAGGTTGACCAAGTGATTTATACCAATCAAGCTCTGCAGAGTTCTTAAAGCAGAAACTGTTGAATCTGACTTGGTCAGATTTGCATAGTGCTTCCTGTTTATTCCCATCAAAAAGGTATTGCAGACAAAGTATTAGAAGGAAACTTTATCCTCATTTACCATCATCACTGCCATAATATCCCAGCACTCAGACTGTGCCTTCAGACAGGGTGATGAGTGAAGGGTACTGCATATAAATTGCTCACTCCCCATCTTAAAGACTTGGTGTTTTGAAGGAAAGGTCACAGCACTTGTACAGGTAAATCTTTATTCCAGCTCAGCTATTTTTCTGAGATGTTTGTATCTGCATCTAGTATGTCAGATAAAACTTGATTACTTTGTGCACTTCCCATGCAACTGGTGATCTTTCTTATCCTCTCCTTCTGCATGATTCCCAGTTCTTTCTGCAGTCCCCAGCAGAGTCAGCATAATTCTGACTGGGGACTCCAACAGTGGTGGGGTAGCTTCATTTTTAGGTGTTTATTTCTTTCACATACCTTTTTTATCAGGGGAACACTAAACAGAGCCCTCCCTCACACTGTTCTGTTTTGTGATCAAACACATCCATGGTTTGAGTTACTCTGATGCACAGCAACAGACGACATTTCTGTGTCAACTTTTATGAACTCTTTTTAGAAGTATCCTCCTGAGTTAGCTACAGCATTAAGACAGAAAATGGAGCTGTTTCTCAGAGGAAAACCTATACACATGCATTTATCAATTGCATGTGTGTCCCCCTTTTTTTCTTCTTGCAATGCTTTTGCAGTGCTATGACCCCCTCTAGATTTTCTCTCAGCTTTCCATCTTTTTCCTTCAACTTGAGTCTGATTATTTTGAATTAATAAGTTCGCAGTTTCAGAGCTTTGATTATATACTTTTCTTTCTGCTATACTTGCAGCTTGGGGGCCCTTCTTTAGGATGACGTTGCTTTTACCCTCAACAATTCCTCACGTATCATACTAACTTCAGGAAAGTGCCTGCTTTTAATTGCAAAACCTTTGACATTTCTATACCAAGCTGCAGACACTGGAGTTTTCTACTCTGGAACGTGACTGTCTGTTCCTTTTCTGCTTGTTGGCTTCAGGCAACAAACACATGAGAATTTCAATTGTATTTTCATGCAATTTTCCTCTGTTTCAGACATTAGTTTTAAGACCATATGTTCCAGAGCATAAATACCTTAATTAAGATGTAGGCTTAAAACAATCCCTAAATAGTTTGAAGAGGTCTGAGCAGATTTTTTTTTTTTTAAGTTAGGCAGAACTTCAAGTTTTTAGCTAAAAGCTTTCACATTTTGTACATCACAAAAAAAAGTAATAATCAGACTGCATCTTCTTGACGGTTTTATTTTAGACACTACTTTTAATCTGTTGGCAGAGAATGGAACGAACAAACTTGTTCTGAGAAAATACTACTCAGTAGAAGTTCAGAGTTTTCCACAGAACACTGTGTCACAACCAGAGTTGAGAGAAGGAGTCACTACCATATGAGCACATGGTTTCTTTCTAAATTTGATGCTTTGCATAGTATTTACCTTTTTTGTTGTTTTATTTTAGGGTTTTTTCCCCCTGCTTCCTCTTTATTCTTCCTGTCCATGTCACTGGACACTATTAGGTCTGATTGGAAAAGAACAGAATCATGAAGTTCATAAAGTAGATCTTTGCCTAAGCAGCAGTACAGGTTGCAAGACCTGCAGCAATTTCTCAGAAGTTGTTGGGAAAATAAGAAGTTAAAATGCTGCCAAGACAAGCTTAACTACATGGAGATGCGACTAGGAACTATATATGTCTTGGATGCTGAGAGGCATGAAGGTGTGATCTGTTCCCAGTACAATTCAGAAAAAAACAGAACCATTTTCTTCACCTGTTTGTTAACAGGAGAGCGAAACAAGATCTCCTCTGTCAGATCTTCAGCAGAGATTTTACAAAGACAAAAATCACAGCGTTTTTGAAACGTAAAATGAAGTCCCAGTGAAATAAATAGATGTCATTAAATAGAGTGACTGAAAAGGAAGGTCTCATGGTCTCAGTCAGTGGGGCTGTCTGGGCTGATCTAAACAACAAACAAATAGTCAAGCTCACAGGGCAGATCAAGTCTGACCTCGTGAACCCGAACTCAGAGATGGTTCTAAGGTTTTCTGGTTTGATTCTGGTGGGAAGCTGAAGCTCACCAACAAATTAACATACCCAAATTACTGTTCCATTATACTTCATATAAAACAAGGCTAAAAAAAAAAATGTTTTAAAAATCAACCTTCAATCAATCATTTTGCTTTTTCACAATGCATTTAAATACAATAAAACTTTTTAAGGAGTTTTTTCAACATTTCTTTGAAGTATGACACTGAATCAAATGGATGGCATAATACTCATGTAACCACCACTTCTCCTAGAGACTATTTCTATATTCTGATATCCTCAGAATTTTCAGCTCAGTTTCCTCATGTCTTGTCCCTTACACTGCAGTTTATATGGCCTGAGCAGGGAGAATTAATTCATGTCTCAGCCTTTTGTGGGCTGAAGATCTTAACAATGCCCTGTGGCATGCTGCCCAATATGTGTTTTTCCAGGGCCATCTGCTACCTATAGTTCAACAGAGACCATGACTTGGCTACAAGACTTTCTGCACAGAGACGTGCTCATCCAGTTTTTACTGGTTGTTCTGAGGTCCATTTCAGGAACATACATTTTTAGTCCTCGAAGAAAGTGATTCATTCACCACACCCTTTTCTAGGGGGAGCTGTCTGGCCACTGTGTTTACTTTGGCGCTGCGTCAACATTAAATATCCAAGGGTAAACACCTGCAGCTTGCACATACATGTGGTTCATGGTGGTCAAGTGCTTAACAAATTAAGTTCCATAAGGAGAAAAAGAAAAGCTATGCTACTTGTGTTTTATTTCTGTGTTCTAAAAGACAAATGTATCTATTTCAGGCTAGTACTTAAATATCCAAAAAGGCAACAAGCAGCTCTTTATGTGAATGACACTTGACTTATGTTTGAAGAATATTTGGACTTTGACTTCGAAGCACTCAGACATAAGGGATGCACTAAAAAGGAACAGATTCATTTTGAACAGATTATAGAAACCATGTGTGACAGAGTAGAACAAATGGTAAGTACTGTTTTGAACATAGCTGAGAAGGGCACTATCAGCATTTTATGCACAAAGCATGCATAAACAGCAAAATGTATCCAGTAGCTTCTACCCTAAAGGCACCCCATGTATAATCAGTCATATCTTAGATCACTGGCCAAAATGGGTATGTGAAATACTCAGGTGAAGAGGATACCATGGAATGCCCCACTCCCTCATTTTCCTCAGAACTTATACTATAATTCTTCTATTAGGTGGTGTCAGAAGCAAAGATTGAAGTCAAAGCCTAAAACACCACTGTAAAATTTCAGAACAGTTCGGGTCTGTCCCCTTTCCCAAGCCAAGGAAAAACTAAATCCAATCTTATATCTTGTGTTATTAAATTTCAGTCCACCAAATCACTGCACTATGCAATTTGTTTGCTGTCCTCAAGAGAACCTGTGTTAAAAGCACTATGAGAAAGCAATCACAGAGCTTCACCACCTCTCACTCACTGGTGTGCCCATTCAATTAAGCACAAGATGTCATCCACATAAGTTGCTATTAATTTCAGACCTAGAAATGCTGAATTAGTGTCTGGTTTTCTGCCAAGTTTTCCCCCTTTTCTGCCTGGAGCTTCAGTGCTGATTAGGGTTCAGCTGCAGACCTCATCTCTGGCTATCTCCAACATCAAGGGGTTGCTGTATAGAAATGACCAAACCTCTGCACTCAGCTCAAGGTTTTTCACCAGAGTAGCAAAAGTTGTTGTCCTGAGGCCAAGAATAAAATAAATTAAGCTAGAACAGGTAGGCTGCCTGCCTTGCTGGGGATCGCTGCTCATCTAACCGAAGTGGTCCTGCATGCCCTGACCTATGGTAGCAGAAGGATGCTCACCTTTCCCTGGCTCCAGAAGCAGTGGAGGAGGTTCATGAAGCAGGTTCATGGTTGCTCTTCTGCACAGCCTTTTCTTGAAGCCATCTCCTTGGACACATCTCAGCAATTCCAATACTGACAGTCACGGGGCTCAGCAAAGGTGTCGAGGTCTATTCAGCAACACCTTTGGACTCTGAAGACCTTGATAGCAGTACACCTTAGCCCACCAGAAGGTCTCATAAATCAGGAATCTATGCCCAGCATCCTGTTCAAGCCCAAAAGGAACAAAGAATCAGCAAGCTCAGAGATTAATTTTTCTCAGACACTTTTGAGTATCTGTGTCGACCAGTTGCCAGATTGTAAGAGCAGGGAGCAGCCCTGCTTTGTACAACACAGACACCAGGTTGCATACTGGATTAAACCCTACAAGTACCTTACAAACTGCAACTCCCTCAATATCACCTGTTTTGAAATTGAGGTGTAGCGTAGTCACATCTTTTTTCTCTTGAAGCGAGGACAGCTATTGATCAATAAGGGAAATCAGTCTTAGGCAAAATCAGACTGGCTCCAGTGGGTATATATGTGAAATTTGGCTTCAAGAACGAAATTTTGATCTAATATTTCACCCTTTCTAATTTTAAGAAATTAAATTATTAAGGATATCTACTGGATTTTTATTCTGTTCTAAGGTGATGCTTTCTGGTTACCAAAGTCACCACACCCCCAGGACAGTCCACAGACTGGACTGGTTGTTATTTAAATGATGACATGAGCCTGTGAAGTGTAATAGCCCTGGTGGGCAATAGGAATGAATGTGGAGGGTAGGGAGAATTGATTAGCTGGTGGTATACCAGTAAATACAAAGTGCTTAATCACAGGCAGACCCAGCACCTTGATCTCCCAATCAATAGCACTTGTAGGTTCAGAGCACACAAGGAAGCCTTGGGTTTAAAGAGAAGATAAAAGGTGCTCTCTCTTCTTTGTTATTTTTACAGTGTTCTGTAATTGTATATCCTATTTCATCCTAGCAGTCCAAAGGCTTTTACAATTTTGTAAATGAAGCAAACACTTCACCCATTTCAGAGAGAAAATGTACCGGCTGTTCAGTATCCGAGAGTAGAGCAGGTCTGAGAATAGAGCAGGTAGCATACCTCCTTGTAATGCTATGATTTGAGAAAAGGGGATTTCAGTAGGCAGCACTTTTAAACCTGAATAAATACTTAATCTAGATAGAGGCTAATTACCCATACCCTGGCAGAAATTCTACCAAGTTTTTGAATGGTCATGGGACCAACATGTACTGTGAGAGGTGCCACCTTTAACATCCATTATTACCTTCAGTAAGCAGGAGCACAGTAAAATCTGCAACTGGCCTAGGGAGGAATAAGAGAGAGAGGCACAGTTTGATTTTTCCTTTGGGCTAGGGAGAAAAAAAGGAAAACTAAACCCCATACACAAGGCTTATGTTTCAGCCAGCAACCACCGAGCTGTCCCTGCTGTGAACTGATAACTGAGACTGATAATAAACGTAGCCTGACTCTATCAGCTGTACAGACTTATTGTGCTCAGCTTAAAATAGAAATAAAATCAAGTAGTGCCAATGATGGACCAAAATGGATTCTCAGAGTACCAGGACCCCTGTGAACTTTGGCCATTTGGTTAATAGAAATCTTGGACACAGACCATCTCAGGATAGGGTTGGAAAACATTAATCCCAACTAACACTGTGCTAGTTTAAACCTCAGGGTTTTAATTTCATATCTGTAAATGTTGTTTGTCGACTTCAGTACTGCAAAAAATAAATTAAAAACTGAGGCAGTATTGCATTTTAGTATTCAGCTTGAAATGCTCTACTAGAAAACAGGAGGATTTTATATTTCTGTGATTCCCTTTTTTATGATATACCTTTGCTCTGTTCTTGTCATATATTACAGTTTTTGGCAAGCAACAAGCAGCTTACCCTTAGTAATTGAAAGACATTTTCCAGCCTTAAGCTGGCTGCCTGCTGGCACATCTGATCTTGTGCTGCTGCTTGTGCTGGTGGAAATGAAAGGGCTGTGAGACAAAGAGCCACAGCCATCTTGCAGCTGGGCTGCACGGAGCTGCTCGGGAAGTGGGAATTCGTACAAACAGCCTGTACCATCCCAAGTCACTTCTCTGTATCTTAACATTGCTTCTCAGAGCTGATAGAAAAGCTGTGGGAGATTTCAACAATGGCAAGTTCATAATTTCTAAAGGCTGAAAAGCAAGGAAAGAAATACTTCTCCCAATTGCCTTTTTTTTTTTTCTTTTTTTTTTTTTTTTTTTTTTTTTTTTTGCCTAGGGATACATCTTCATCCCAGTGTGTTCCTGCAGGCCTCCTGCAGCTGCCTCTCCCATTTTCACCCAGTTGCCCTGTTTTCCATGGGTTCAGGCTCTTGTCAACCTTCACCAAGCATTTTCCATCTGTCCTCTGTGTGAATCCATATAACCACATTCTATTGCTACATGTGGTGAAAAGGCTGTGTTGCTGAGTATAACGTTACACGTGATATCTCCAGAGCCTTTGGACATTTGAGGGACCGTCTGATGGCATCACTGAGGGCATTTGAGGCATCTGATGCCTGCAGAGCCAAGGCAGTGGAAAATGTTAAGACTGAGACTGGAACAAAGAGAAAGACTTAACAAAAATAGTGGCTGTAAACAAACAAACAGACTGAAATTAAGGATAAAGACAGAAGAAAAAGTCAAAAGAGAAAAACATTCTCTTACCATGAAAACTATTGGTGCTACACATAGATAAAGGTCTGACAGCTTTTCAGTTTTAAATCCCCTATTTACAGGGATTATAAAGCTCAGATGTGGAAAGTCTCTGAAACATGGCTTGCAAGGTCTCTGGAAAGAAGCTTTAAAAATACATTTAACTGTTTCATGCTAAAGTATGAGACTATAAATGTTAACTAATTTTAAGAGCTACGTAAAAAAAAAAAAAAAGCCAGAACAACTTAGCACACTCCTTGAGTCTATGTCACATTTTTTGATTAATTATTTAAAAATTTGCTGCATCATTGCTGCAGATAATTCCAGCTACTCAGACTCTTCAAATGACTTCAAAATGCAGCACAGGCTATTTTTAATTAAATAGGTAGAGACTGATGTAGACATACAATTGTATTTTTCTTGTTGGGGGCTATACATTACTCGAAGATGGAAGAAGGAAATAAGTCACTGCAGTCCCTTTGCCACTAGCAGGATGTTTCTAGGCAAGGAAGCCTCTCAGACCACCAAACCTGCAAGTGATCTTTTGACTGTCACATCCTCAAAGTAAAGAAAAACCTCTCTGAAGCAGGAGTGAATATCTGCTCCCTGTCTGGATGAAAACAACTTCAAGAATACAGCTCTGCTTATAAGTGGTTGAAACTCCAAGTCCAAATTCACCACCTGCAAATATTTTGCAGTATTTTCCTAAAAATAGGCATTTCTGCAAATATTCCTGTTAAAAGGTTCTCTCCTTCAACGGACTGTTTACAAAGAATAAACACAAAGTAGACATTAGAACAGAGCAAATAAAAGAGGTTTCTATTTACAAACCTGATGGCCACAACGGGTTCACTCTTCTGTCCTCACAAACTACCCTTCAAAACTGTAGTTTTATGGGAGTTTTACAGGTAGTAATTTTTTTTTAAAATGTTTTTAGCCACTCACACCACATTTTTAGCAAGGGATGACATGTGTAATATATATAAACATATATATTTCTATTAAATTCAGTGTGCTCACAAGCAGATTTAAAGGTTCATGGGCACACCTGGTGGCAGAGAGCACAGAAATGACTACCTAGGCCTCAGGAGGTTAGAGTTTTGCACATAATCAGAACAGAATCAAGTTTTTAAAGCCTTGGAACCCACATATTTGGTCACAAATATAAATCCCTTTTCTCATTTATTAAAAAAATCTGAGGGTGAAAACAGACTGCTGAAATAAAAGTAGCAATTTTCCTCCAAGTTTTTATTTGTTTCAACCTAACCAGTGACCCTCCAGACTTGAGAAATACTCTCAAAAATGCAAATCTGTATTCTCAAAGCTGTGGTATAAGACGCTCTGACACAACACAGACTACCGACATCTAGGTCATCAGAGAAAGGAGAAAAGTGCTTTCTGCATGGTTTGGAAGCACTGAACTTTCCATGAGGAGTTCCAGCCTCGAATGCTGTTCAAACCTGTCCGTATCCAAACCATCCAGCTGCGGTGCAAGAGGTGCTCATTTCTTGGTGGAGACGCGCCAAGGCATACGGAGCCGGGAAAAATCGCTCTGTGCAGTACATGCTTTGGCACACAGCGCTCCTGAACGTGTCACAGCGATTAAAGAGAGGGAGGGAAGGTGCACTGAACTGGCAGATGTCACTGGTTCAGCGCCTGCACTGGCCTGGGTTTGCTCCTGGAGGATGAGCTGGCGGATCCCTGGATCCCGGCGGGCTGAGGTGCCTCTGCACAGCGCAGTGCTGGGCTAAGCCAGACCACAGTGGCAGGAGGGCAAGGAATGGGGCAGGCTTAGAGATTTGTGCCTATGGGCTTTTGTTGGATAACTTTCTTTTCTGCTTTTCTGTTGGACTCATTGTCCTGGATGATGGGACAGAAAGGACAGAAAGTCACACTTTAAAAAAAAAAAAAACCCTTGTCATTTCTGTTCCCAGAGTAGTTTCTGTTCCATAGCTAAAGTGAATTTACAAAACTCAAAAACTCTTAATTCTTGTTGTTTACAGGGTTTTTTTCTACCTAGTGGATAAAATTTCTTCATTATGTTCACAACCCACTTATGTCTGGGCAGGTGAGGGCCTATCTAAATGTCATTGACTTTAGCAATTGTTTTCAAAAAGAAACAACCCCCTCACACACACCCCCTTTCAGGAAGGGGGCAAATGAGTGGAATATTGCCTTAAGCTCGGACCATGCAGCAAACCTGCCATGTCCAAGGTGGGTGCAAGCTTTGGCATGGAACGAAATTCCAGAAACTTTCATCTGCTTTCTTAAATCCAAATAAAAGTTAATTACACTGATAAAATCCTGCCTTGTGAATGGATCTCACCTTTCTTTCTCCTCCAGCTCCATGCCCTTTGTCCACTATAAAAATTATAGCATATGCAGGAGTGAAAAATCTGTGAAAGAGATGGTTTATTTACATAAACCATAAGTGACACAACTTCTAACTGCAACAGATATCCAGAACTTCAGATACATATATAACTTTTCTATAGGTGCTAATACTGTATGACTTTCCTGTAAAAT